GGAGGAACAACATCAATTTTTAGCAGCATATGTGTGCTATGTTGTACAAAGTATGATGCTATGTTTACAAGAATGTGATGCTATTTGAATGATAAAACTTCTACAAAGTGATCATTTTTTACAAAGTGATCATTTTTTATTTGAATGAAGTAATAAATACAGTAAAACAACTAAAGTGGGTGATTGTGGTAAAAAAGGAATCTGAGTAATTCTTACCAATCGAAGAAAAGATCCAAATCATTTCCCTAATTAATAACAATGGTTTTGACAATAATAGACATACATAATTGATCATTATATTCTATAAAAATATATCAAATAATCATGACCGTTTATACTTATGTAATCAAAGGACATGATGGGTTCCTAGTTCTCATACTAGGGATGGGTTCTCATTTGAATTTCATCCTATATATATATATATATATATATATATATATATATATATATATATATATATATATATATATATATATATATATATATATATATATATATATATATATATATATATATATATATATATATATATATATATATATATATATATATATATATATATATATATATATATATATATATATATATATATATATATATATATATATATATATATATATATATATATATATATATATATATATATATATATATATATATATATATATATATATATATATATATATATATATATATATATATATATATATATATATATATATATATATATATATATATATATATATATATATATATATATATATATATATATATATATATATATATATATATATATATATATATATATATATATATATATTGCAAAATGAAGAAAAATGAACATTGCTAGTAAAAAAATTATAAAAAAATAAAAAAACTTTTTTTTAAAACGTTACGGCCCAATTGTTATTGACAATAAATTCTAGACTGAAATTATGTTGCCAAATGATCACTAATTCTTGATTTATTTTGCCAAATTAAAAAATGAATATTAAAAAAAGTACAACAACAAATGTGGAAATATGAAAATTGAATTTGCTAATGATAGTAACATATGATTTAAATGTAAAATGAATTGTAATAAAAAAAAGAAATATATACGAAAAATACTGTAAAGCTGATTAATCACGGATAAATAAATTTTTTGGTTCAAATTAAGGTGCCAGTTGAGTACTTACTCTCGTTTTTATTTGCCAAATGAAGAATAATACATAAAAAGATGTGCATCAATTTTGGTGTACAATATGAATTTTCAAAGAAAAAACAAAACAAAACAAAACAACAGAAAATAAAATGGATTTGTTATGGAAGAATTTATGTTGGACATTTAGTTGATTGACCACGACTTTTTTTACGTAATTTATTATATTATACACTAATAATTTATATATGTCTTTCAGGCGCACATTTTTCATTGGAAGTGATAATTGAAAATATTTTGTTTTTATTTAATTAATTTTGTATTTTGTTTGTTATAAAATGTTATTGTATAATTATTGTACGCCTTTTTCTAATATAAAAGAAAAATCTAAAAGTAAAAAAAGATAGTTTTTGTTAAATTAAATCGGCCAGATTAAATTTGCTAATATATGATTTCAAACCAAAAATTAAAAAAATAAAATAAAATAAAATATAGTTAAGTGGGTGAGAAAACGCAAGTAACCAAAATTATGTAAGATTAGAAATTACATTCCATATAAAAGTTAAATAATATTGATTGTAAACAATGATAAAATGCTTTTATTTATTCTAGCAGTCTGCATGTGCGTATAAAATATGTAAAATCCATATTTTGATATGAATTGTATTGTGAGGAATCAACAAATTCCTTTATTTTAGGAGATATCGAATTCCAATTTATATTTCAAATTACATTCCCAAATTTGTAGGCTGCCTAAGTCATAAAGGCTGATTCGGCTTATTCAGTTTTATGTACAAAAAAAAAAAAGATAAAAAAAATCCGAATTTAATGGTATTGATATATGAGATTGTATGATGGGGGAATAAACAAATTCCTTTATTTTAAGATATATCCGATTTCAATTTGTATTTCAAATTAGATTCCTAATTTGTAGGCCTCCTAATTCATAAATGATGATTCGTTTTTTTGTAAAAAAAAAAAATCTAAAAATAGTAAGCAATTAATGTTGTCCTAAAATTTCTAGTTACTATTTATGATAAATAGTAATTCTTATTATATATATATATATATATATATATATATTAGTACAGAGCCCGTGCGATGCACGGGGTGCACAATTTTAAGGCTATTTATCCAGGCTTATAATTATATACATGAATAAAGAAAAATATACGGGATATATATAGTGCGTGACCCGTGCAAAGCACGAGATATATTTATTTGGAGAATATTATATTATAAGATGCAATATTCAATAAAAGTTTATAATACGCAAGAAAATTGTACAATGTTCAAATACCCGTGCGAAGCACGAGATATATTTATTTGTTTTATGATTTGATAATACACGAGATATATTTATTTGTTTTATGATTTGATAATATAAACAAATCTATACTTAACTTTGACAAATAAAACAAATAAATACTTTAGTAAGTATTTAATGTATATACTAAATAGGAATATATTTGGTATAATCAAATATCAAATATAATCAAATAAGTCAAAGTGTACATTTTTATTTGGTATTTAATTTTTTTATTATTAAAATATTTTTATTATACTTAACTTTTTAAAATAAAATAAATAAATAAATCAATTAAATAAATAAAATATTATAATACCAAAATAGCAATGACATTTAATACAGTTGACTTTTTTGGATAGTAAATGTAATAAATAGAATCTCCTTTTATATAAGTATAGATTGTATAATACGAAAATAGTAATGCAATAAATGTTGTTGACTTTTCTTTATACTAAATCTGGTAAATGGTATACCTTTTAATATAAGTATAGATTTAGAATATAATGATTAAAATTGATGTGATTCAAAATTGGGAGTCTTTTTAAAAATGATATAGTGTTAAAAATATAAAAAATTGATGAATAGTGTTGTGTACATACAATACCTTGGGCTTACCCGAGCGGAGTGTGATTCACGTCGTCCTAAATTTATTCAAGCCCTTTGAGTAGACGAAATAAGTCAAAGAACTATTTCTCAACGTTGTTTCGATATCTCAAACATCAGAGCATCGATCCGTCTATTTATGCTCTTTGTTGATCCCATTGCGGCGTGCGTGTGGAGAAAAACTGGCAAAGGAACCGTTAAAGTGACTGCCCAACCGATCCCATCATGAAAATTATAAATGAATGTCCCGTCCTTAAAAGTCGAATGTTTGCATGGAAACACATATCGACCATCTAGCACCTAAGGTGGCATGCTACCATCAGTGTATTTTCACTGTACTCATGTATACATGAGACACCGAGTACTTCTTTTAGTGTATATACCGAAAGTTTGACTTTGACATTATAAACACTATTTCCGATTGAATGGGCATCATATTTAATTAAACAGTTTTGTATTCTGATATTTTACATTTAAGGTCCGTTTGGTTGGATATATTGTGCATAATATCACACAATTTCATGACATATCTATCCTATTAACATGTTTGGTTCCAATAAATAAGTCATTGAAATAACTCATAGCTCGATCAATCATTAAGATTTTTCACTATTATGTATCCCACCTATGGGTGGGATGTGCAGGCACTTACTATTTTGATTTTAAATTTACATAAATATCTACACTTCTTTTCTTTCCCACTTTTCATTCTTCCCCAATTTCCACTTGCTGTGTCCCCGTAACCCTACCTTCTTTCATAAAGATTACCAAAAAATTTCTTCCCCAATTTCCCCTTCACATCGTGTCCTTCTCCTCTTCCGCACCATTTCTCTTTTCTTCTTCACCTGCGTCACCTACAGCTCGACGACGCCTTCTAGAAGCTCAGCCTCAGTCGGTCGACCTGCAAGGCCAATCTCGAGATCTGCTCCACTACTGTTGCTCGCTGTCGCCGCCCCTTGACCCCGGGCACATCGTCCGGCCGCTGCTGCTCGCCGTCACCTCACATCAACTCTGGCAGCGAGAGAGAACTAAAATTTCAGTCGGTCTTAGCTAAAGAGAACTGAATTCTCTAAACACCTAATTTGTTTTTCTCTTTAAAAAAAATGTTAGTTGTAATTCTTAGGAGAAAAATAAAAGTATGGAGATGTAAAAATCAGTTGAAAGATTTTGAATTTGTTTTATGAATTCATAATGTTATTGAAGATTTTACGGTGGGCAAGATTTGATAATTTAATTGTACATTAAGGGTAGAAAGTAATTTTAACCTAAAGGATATAATTATCAACCATAAATCAAATAAGTTAATGAGGTAAATTGAATTTGGTGGTAGCATTTGATTTTATCAAGAAGATTATATCATGCCCAATCAACATTTGACAATTATTATGGTTCATTACGGATGGTCAGAACATCAAATTATCAGTTACATGTAAAACATAAATAATTGGTTCACAACCTACATGGAAATGAACAACCATCGCGAACGGTTATAGTGTAATTTGAATTGGTTGGTCTTGACCGATGCATTGCACTAGTACTCTATAAGCGCATTGAACAGATCCCAAAAGAATAAATTTATTTTATACTGCCCAAGTAAATAAACTTGACATCGGTAATTACTGCCTACTCTGAACCCTTAAGATAATAACAGACACACGCACTCAAAAGTTGTTATATTGATAACTTAAAAGTGAGATTCATTCTGTTGGATCAATAGTCTAGGTGAGTTGGGTAGTGATTTTGTGTGTGGTGTGTTGTTCGATTATTTTCTGTCATCGTGTGACTTAGTCTGATGATGTTCCCGAAGTGATCTCAAGAAGGATTATTGTTTTATGTTCTGCAGGTGGATTGAGCTCCGGAACAAAACACCTACTAGAGCACACACATTTACTAAACAACACTCGCGAGGTAGCTAATTTATCAACTGGTCCACGGGTCTTCTAAGGCACGACATGGAATGGGTCTTGTGCGACACTCGGGAGGTTGTGCCGGGGACCCGAGGTGCAGAAGCAGGCTTCTGGGTCTTGCGCTACACTCGCGAGGTCGCCTGCTGGTACGCAGGGCTCGGGTACGGGCATTGCGGCACTCGCAGGGTAGCGGGCGAGCTCGCGTGGTCAACACACACTTGCACTGTTTCAACACCTCATATTAAGTGCGAGCTGGCGTCTTGGAAAGAGATCTTCGACAAGGACTAGCCAGCAAGCTCCTTATCAAACCACCAGCCTTGACTTCATCTAAGGCCGATGGAATCTCCACACACGCTTGATTGTATCGAGCAACAAACTTTCTCAATGATTCACCCTCTTCTAGCCTTATAGCCATCAGAGTAAGGTAAGTCTTCTCTTGTGCTACTGCACTTGCATACTGTTCAACAACATCTGCGAAAAGTCCTTAAAATCCTTCATCGACCCTGGGGAAAGCTGGTGAAACCAATCCAGCGCCCCTCCCCTCAAGGGCGAGAGGAATGCCCTACAGCTCACCGGGTCAGGGTACCCGTGCACTACAACCATATTTTCAAACGACCTCACATGCCTCGACGGGTTAGTCGACCAATCAAATATCAAGCTCGTCTCTTGAAAGTTGGTTGGTAATGTTGTCTTCAAGATCTCCCTCGAGAAGGGCTGTACTCGAGTTTGACCGACCTACTTTCCATCAACCTTGGCTTGCAACTAACGCAACTGCTCCGCCATCCACTCCAACGTTCGATCTTTTTGGGACCCATCTCCTCGATAACTCAACTTGTCCTCCTCGGTGTTTTGCTGATGTGCACCTACCACCGTGGTCGGCGTAGTGGTGGAGTGCGAAGTATGATGAGTGGCTTACTGGATCGCCTTTGCTGTGACCGCGTTAGCGATCATGCTCTCCATCTCCTCTCTGATCATCGCCACCAACTGTTGACCAAATCGCTCCTCTTGTGTCCTCGGTGGTCCTATCGCCTGCACCACCGCTCCTCCTGGTTGCACGTTGGTCGGATCTGGCTGCGGCTGCGCATGCATCACCACACCTTGCGATGCTCGAGCCTCATGTGCCTAGCTCGAGCCCACCATGGCTAAGAGAACTTCCAATGAACTCCCAAAGCCTTGAGGAGGAGGCATCGAGGTCATCGGGGTTGTGGAAGGTCTAGAGAAGCCTAGAGGAGGGCCAGCTCCGAACGGCCGCGTGGTTGTCCACACATCATCAAACGTAGTCTCTAAGTTTCTTCTTCGGATTTCGTCCACCATGGCTATGGTGAATACAAGCTTTTTGAACGAAAGTCCCACAGACGACACTTTATGGTACGTAAAGACTCTCGACCAGTTGGAATCAGCCTACTCTTGATATTCTCCGCCAGTTGAACGCCTTTAGAACTGTAAAAACTCTCACACTGGAGGTTTTTCCAGTGAAGAGCCTCTGATGCTTAAAGGAGAACTTGTAGAAGATGATAAAGTGCAGAAAGTACAGAAAATATGAATGTAAGGAGTAAAAACCGCACGTCTGAGGTGCCTATTTCCAGAAGGTTGCCCGGATGTGGTGAGTTGGATGCCCAAGCTGCTCGAGCTGCTGGATAGTACGACCCGCACTGCTCACTGTCAGAGGAGGTTGCAGGGTATAGACCAATCAGCTAGTGCCACATTTAGTGTTAGTTTTGGCAAGATTTCCTTTTACCTCTTAATCCTTCGCATTAGACCGTCTGGTAGTACGACCAGCTCAAGATCTGCTAAGGTAGAATACTAACCGTCCTGGACCGAGTGTTGTTATTTCTGGTTGATCCAACGACCAGTTGTGCCTACAGGTCGAGTTTATATCAGTCCATCCAAGGACCCTAGCTCGACCTGTTGTTGCTGCCTTATACCCCTTATGTTGTCTTCCAGATCGAAGGCTCTTAGTCCTGAAGTGGCGATGTTCGACGACCACCGACCTTATGGTTCTGCTCGACCAGGCGGCTCGCTCGACCTATTCGACCAGTTTATTCTCTTAAGTATGGCATCCCATATCGGAATTTATACTAAATGCATATTTAGTTTATATTAAGTGCATGGTACTGAATGCATATTTACTTAATACATAATGCATACTAAGGTCAACGGGTCAATGCCAGAGTTAACGGTCAACGCCGAAAGTCAATGGTCAGAGTTAAAAATAATATTTAAATATATAACAAAAATAAAAAAATATTATTTAATAAAGAGTTAAATCTTGGTCATATATATTGATATCTATCTAGTGGCTAGGATTGAGTCGCACATACTTATTTTAAGAAATGTGTCCTCATTTGAACCAATATATAAGATCCGAAAATCATGCACGGATTTACCCCATGCCTATTATTTTTTTAACAACTATTAGTTTGATTTTTTTTTTATTGTGTTTCTGGCCCACCCAAATAAACCATCCCACTAACTCACCAAAATTTTTCACTTATCCGTTCATGTCTAAAGACTACAAACACCATTCTAATCCCCTGAACACTAGAACAACGAATTCAGAAGAACAAAAAATACTTTTAAGAAGACGGTTTAATTTCTTCTTTAATAGTAAATTTTATTTGTAAACCCCTATTACGTATTTGTTTCATTTGTCAAATTATCTTTCTTTATCTTTTGATTTTGGTTGAACTATTTAGGATTTTAATACTAATTTGTAGGATCATTTGGTTGCATTTCTTGTATTGTTGATAAAGTATGAAGTAGTAATTGTGTTTTTTTTTTTTTCTTTCATCTCTTATCCCATAGTGTTGTTGTTCTTTATCATTTTGGATTTAAATTTATGATGTGTAATCATTTTATTTTGCTAATAACTATGCCATATGGAAAATCAATTTATTGGTACGTTCATATTTCCAGAATATCACATAAAGCACCAACTTTCGGTCAAAGGAAAAAACTCCATTAATATCACCGTTCGTTCGAGAGGGATCATCAAACTAGTGAAAGCAAATCAAATCAAATATAGTGCAAAATGAGCATAATAAATTTTTTTTGTAAAAATTCGCCGAATACACCTTCAATGAATTTTTAAAGAAAATGAGTTTTAAAAATTATACCTTAGTCTATTAATTTATCTCTGCGAAAATCATTTCATGTTATAAATCACACGAAATCACTCCATCTCATTGATAATAAAATTACATATTACAAACGCATATAAATATATATATATATAAAAAAAAAAATGAATTACAATAACAAGGGGTCACTCATATGAGATCCCTCTTCAGATCTGCACGAAGCCCGGCACGTAGGGCACGGCGGCGCTCTTGACCCACTCATCCCCAGCAAAAACCACCTGCGGGGTGAAGCTCTCGGCGATCTTTGGCGTGATCTTCTTGATTCCCTTCCACTTGACCCTCTTGCTGAGGTCCGACCCGGCCCCACGGTTCTGATACTCACCATAGTACAGCGTGTCGAGCGCAAAGGTCCCCATCCACGGTGACCACCCTTCAGGGGCGATGAACCCGTCGATGTTGGACTGCATGATGATAGTGCGTGAAAACTCCTTCCACGGCCTGCCGAGGTACGCCGAAAGTGCTGGCTTCACCGCCAAGAACCCGGGCTCGGCCACGATGTTGCAGTTCTGGACAACAGTGACACCTACACTGCGTTTGTCCTTGCGGCCCTGCGCGGTCACCATGCACGCCTGGTTGTCCATCGGCTTCCGCACCACCAATCGGCTGCTTTGGAAAACGGCCACCGCATCCCCGAAGATGAAGTCGATCGTGCCCGTGACGGTGCAGTCGCGGTAGTACTGTCGGTACGCGTGGGCGTAGAGCGTGTCTTGGTACCCGTCCATGTGCACGTTGTAGAAAACAGCTTTGTCTCCCGACACGCGCACGGCCACCGCCTGGTGCTTTTCGGGCCCTGCCGTGTTCTCGATCCCGATGTCCTTGGCGAAGAAACCCTCGCCGTTCACAGCTGCACATGGGAAAAATGAGATCAATCGAGATTACTAGCTAATATTTCGGTTAAAAATTTGGAAATTGTTTTTTTTTTTTTGTTACCGAGAACGGCGGTGTGGAATGTCTGGGTGCCGTCTGCGTAGTTCTTGCTGCCGGAGATGCGGGTTTTTGTGGGGCCGTCACCGATGATGGCGACATTGTTGACGTGGCGGGGGATGATGACGGTCTCCTTGTAGACGCCGGCCTTGACGTAGATAACGAAAGTCGCGTTACTCTTCTTGGGAAGGGTGTTGAGGGCTGCCGCGATCGTCTTGTACTGCCCGCTTCCGTCTTGCGCCACCACCGCGTTTGGCTTAAGGCTTGCAGGCGATGCGGCCATCAGCCTACGAGCCTTTGCGTCCACGTACGTGGGCATGCTGCCGTCCTCCGCCAGGAGGAGGCGACGGCTCGTGAAGCTACCGAGGTTGAGGGATGAAAGGATCGATGAGAAGTCAGTCACCATGGCCAGTCCGTTGCTCAAAAGCTCACCCGACGTCTTCAATAGATTCTTCATCTTCTCTCCCGTCTCGCCTGTCGATTAATAATTACATTAGTTTCAATTAAATAGGTTGTTACACATATATGGGAAAATTTTCAATTTCAGACTATTTACTTGTCTAAAGTCCTTTTTCTGGTACACTGATTTACTCATGATCAAAAATAGTAAGTTACGTTGCAATTTGTATCATTTTTGGGACAATACTCATAAAAAATAGTACGTTATGTTGCAATTTGTATCATTCTTAGGACATTAATCCTAAGAAATAATGAACCATTTTCGGGATAATGTCCCAATAGTGATACAATTGCAACACAATGTACTATTATTGATGTGGGGAAAGTTATTAGTGTACCAAAAGAAGATTTTAGACAGGTAAACGGATCAAAATTGAATATTTGCCCACATATATGTGTGTGTGTTTATTTGTAATTACCGGTGGTGTTCTCGAAGGCGTCGAGGCAGGTCTCGTGGTAGGTGATGGAGGCGCTGAGCCATGTCTTGACGTCGTCAATGTAATCACCGACCTTGCTGATGTCGAAGTCGGCGACCTTGTCGAACGAGCGCCGGAGGTCCTCGATGGAGGTGTCGAGGGTCTCGTCACAGACTTGGAGGGCGCCCTTGGTGCGCTCGTCCTCGGCGGCCTTCTTGAAGAGGTCCGAGTTTTTAATAGCGTCCTCGATGTTCTTTACGGTGGACTCGAAAGCGGCCTTGATAAGCTGCTTGGGGTCGGTGGTGTTGGCGTTGGACAGGCTCTCCTCGCACGTCTCCTTGTAGTCGGTTGGGGAGCAGATAGCGTGGACTGCCTTGGTCGAGGCCGAGATGTCACCGCCAGTGTCAGAAGAGACCTCGCCGCCGCCCTTCTTGTTGACGCCGACGGCAACGGCCACACACATAGCGACCAGGAGAACCGAGGCCAAGCCGGCCACGGCCACCTTTTTCTTGGAATCACTACCCATATTTTCNGCTCTGAGGGGTCCTCTAAGCTGTTTTATTGTTTCAATTCCCCTTGAACTCCGAGAGATGAATGTTGGGAAGATGGGTGTGGGGAGTTATATATATTGGAAGCTTTGAGTTGGTTTCATGGTTTGTGGTTGGGAATTAAAACCTCTGTTTTAGGAGGTGTTTCAATGAATAAAGAAAGGCTGTTAGGAATTGTAGGGGGGTTAAAGGTGGTCAGTCATGCATGGAAATTTAGTTGACAGGGGAATATGAGCGTTTTTTTACGTTATAGTTTTTTCATAACGTCAATATACATTCTTTTAAATACATAAAAAAAAGTAGGAGTTGTTCCTTGAGAGCCAATCAGACAGGTACAACATGGTTTACTTTTTTAAATAGATTTTATTACATTTAAAATTATTTTTACTATAAATAAAAATACATATTTAAATAAAATAGATAATTATAAAGTAATCATCAATTAGTTCAAACATTGAAATAATTTTAAGTGTTCAAAGATTTAATTAATATACAAATTTATTAATTGCAGGAAAAACCATAACCTTTTGGTTAATTGCAAATAAAACTCATCTTTTTTAATTTGGCAAGAAAATACCCAACCTTTAATAAGTATTGCAAATTTGTCTCGAAAACATATTCCGACCAATTCTGCTGACATGGCTGATCGGATAAATGACGTGGCATCCACGTCAGCGTACACATAGGACGCCATGTCAAACTTAGATGCCACATCATTTTTATTTATTAAACATAAAGTTAGGAAAGAAAAAAAAATCCCTATTTTAAATCATTTGCATAACAAGAACGCAAGATTTGGGAGTGAATCTAGGGATTTGGAGATTTGGCCGGTGATTTGGTTGTCAGAGCTCGTCGGGGCTCGTCGGAGCTCGCGAAGGTCGTTTCAGCCGCGAGTTAAGGTCGTTTGTAGCTTCCACCTCCAGAAACTCCACAAGGAGATTCGATGTATCCGGCCAAAATAGAGAGAAGGAGAAGAAGAAGAAGAAGAAGAAAGAAGGTCGATTTCCAAAAATTCGACCTCTTGACAACAATTTGTGGAAATTCGACCTCTCCGACAACGATTTGTGGAAATCGTTAAATTCGACCTCTCCGGCAAGAAAATTCGACCTCACCTGCTCCTTTCCTCAAGGTTCGATTTGTGAAAATGGGCAGCCCCAGCCTCGATTTTGTTCGCAAAATGAAGCAACAAAATGAGAAGAAGATGAAGCAAAAATACCCGTTCTCCATTTACGGCGAGAAGCTGCTTAAGAGGGTCGCCGACCGCTGCTGGTCGGAAAAGAAACCGACGGGACGAGTAGGATGAACTCGGCGACGCCGAATAGAGCCCGCCGGATTTCTGCTGCTAATAAAAGGAACCAGCAGAGGGTTGCTGTGAGGTGAATGGACGGCCGCCCTCAAGTTCGCCGGCGACCGGTGACTGGAACAAGCGCGACAACAGACTGAACCTTGCTACTCGGTCAGCTACTGATTTCTCGTTGATGGAGGAAGATAAGGGACATGATTATGGAGGCGATGGAATCTGGGATTTGCTACTTGCTGAGAGGAGTCGCGCGTCTGAGGAGAAGGATGAAGACGATTGATGGCCGCGATATTGAGGGTTTCTGAAATTGGGCGAGATTGATCGAAGAAGGATGGGATTTCTGACTCTGCTATGTCGGCTGAGAGAAAATTATTGGGGCCAAAATTGCAAGGAATGTGTCACCGACGTGGCTATCTTACTTAGAAGGGACTGAGATGACGTGTGACCGAGTATTGGCCATGTCAGTTTTCCAATCTGCCACGTCATCATGTATTGGCCGGAATATGTGTTTGAGACAAAATTGCAACACTTAATAAAAGTTTGGTATTTTTATGCCAAATTGAAAAGGTTGAGTTTTATTTGCAATTTGACAAAAGGTTGTGGTTTTTATTGCAATTAATCCTTGCAGAAATTACTATATATTTATATTAAAATATTAATCAATTAAATTATGGTCCCACTTATTCATTGAATAAATAACTTGATCGGTTGATCAGTTACCGTCCGATTATGAGAACCTTAAGTTTAAATATTAATAGAATAATATATAATAAATAATTCATAAATCATTGAACACGTTATCACGATAGTATTTTTAAGATAATTATTTAGAGTTTGAACTACATTACATTAATCGTAATAAAATATCTTTTATATTAAAATTAATATTTAATTTCAATATTCCATTTTGACTTGTCAAACTGACTCATTACGTGATCACCGAATCAATCCCTGTCGGGTCATGTTTTTGTACTATTTTAAATATCACTAAAAAGTAATTCAATCAACCTACGCAGTAACCTAATTCAATCATATAGTTGTTCCAAAGAAATTTCCTTATTTTCCTTAAATATAGTTAATTTCATAAATAAAAAATATTTAATGATTCATGTAGTGAATGTTTATAAGAAATGACAATATATTAAAATTATAAAGATAAACTAACTATATCTTACTTGCTTACCCCGCCCGACCTTACCTGCTTACCGAACTCTTTGATCGAGCTCCTTACCATATGCACACATGGCTCAAGTCGAACTCTTGTGAACCGACCCAGACCGAGCTAACCACTCTTAGCCGGCTCCCCGAGCTATTACGGGTGCTATATTATGAACCACAAACAAATTTTTCATTCATAAGATAGGGGATGTTATAGTTTCTCATGACTTTATTGACTACATCAATTTGTTGCATGCCCTAATCACTAGTAGAAATAATACAATTCAGAACAGGTTATGGAAACCCGTTCTAGAAAATGGAACAGTGGCATTTTTGAAATAGAATCGTTGCTCAAAGTAAATGTTTTTCTTGTATATAAGAACGAGAATTGATAATTAACCTGTTATCGCAAGTAATGTGCAGTTGCACCTGGAACTGGCCCTCCAACGATCGTTGCCCGCTTTGCTCCCCGGAGACCTGCAAAGACGCCGAGAGGTGTTCCCGGCGTTTAACCTCCGATGATTAAGTCAGTAAGGATGCTGAAAAGTTGTATAGAGCCGTTTGAAATATTTATGGCATGATTGGTATGATGGAATGGAATTTCGTAGGAATTGAATGACTTAAAGAATGGAATGATTATGGGAATGAAATGAAACATGTTTTGTCATTGATGCGTTTGGTACGCAGAAGAAATATGACTGGAATTGAATGACATTATCATTTTTTATTATAAAAATAAATAAAAGCTTTTTTTAAAAAATAATATACTTGTAATAAATTATATATAAATGCTTTTTTACTTATATATAAAAATAAAATAATATATTTCTAATAATATATAAAAATAAAATAATATATTGTTTAATAATATACAAAATAATATATTTTTAATCATATAAAAAAATAAAATAATATATTTTGAAATTATATATAAATATATTCTTAAAAGTAATATATTTTTAATATATAAAAAATAATATATTTTTAATATTTTTCAATAATATATTTTTAATAATATATTTTTAAAAGTAATATATTTTTAATATATAAAAAATAATATATTTTCAATATAATATAAAAATAAAATAATATATTTTTGTATTATATATAAATCCTTTTTTAATTTTATTTTTATATAAGTATTTAATATATCTTATTAAAACATAAATAAAAGTAAGTTTTCAATTTTTTTAAAATAATTTTATTTAATATATTTTAATCATGATTTATACTATATATTATATATTTTTTTTATATTATTATTTGTTAATTTTATTTTTTGAAAAATTGATTCCTACACACATGCGAATGAGAAAACATTCCATTTACTACGGAATAGCTAATCCCGTGGAGATGGGTTTTGCCATTGGCATTGAAATGACCATTCCTTCCCAAAAAATATACCAATCATGGGATAAGGAATGAGTAAGGGAATGATCATTCCATTCCCATGTCATTCTTTCCTACCAATCATGACATTAGAGTATAGAGTGTGATTAACCTTACTCCATCCCCAATTTTACCTATTTATAGAGGGTTATTAGCTTCCTCAGTAAGCTTCGTTCTTCCTCTGTCGGATCATTTATTCCTTTTTATCATGGCTCTACACGTGTTTCTTGTGGACCACCTTTCGTAACCGCCTCCATAGGGCAGTCCTTAGTTTGTAAAGTATCACCATAGGTCGGCCTTCCCTTATAAGACCCATTTGCTACACCATGCCGAGCTGCTTCTTGTGTCGAGCTCCTAACACTTTTAGCCACACAAACAGCCTAACTACTATTATGCCGAGCTACTTCTTGTGTCGAGCTCCTAACACTTTCAAGCCACACAAACAGCCTAGCTACTATTATGCTGAGCTACTTCTGTGCCGAGCTCCTAGCACTTTCAAACCACACAAACAGCCTAGCTACCCTTACGCTGAGCTCCTAGCACTTTCAAGCCACACAAACAACCTAGCTACCATTATGCCGAGCTACTAATACAAAGTTCTTCGCCCTAGCCACCTAAGTACTAGGCTTCTTTATATTATCGCTATGATTCTAACTCTGGCGAGCTCCTCCTAAACCCGCTGTCCTAACTAACTTCGGTCCACAAACTGAGCTAGTCTTGACCGGTTTATTACGTTATTCTTATGTGCTATATCAACAAGTTTCCTTTTATATCCGACCCAAAAATACCGGTTTTAACGAGTTGAATAAATTAAATAAAAATGAAAAAAGTAAGGGCTCAAAGGTAATCAACTAATCACACGCAGACTTCTTCTCGACACACACTTAAGCAGACAAAACCTCCGCTCCTCGCTACCAAAGAACCTCCATCTCCGCCCTTTTCAACCTCCGCTCCCTGCCATCTCCGCCCCTCGCTACCTCTATCCTGAATCGGATTCATCCCCGCTCCTTGCCACCGCCTCCTCCTCCCTGAACCCCTCGAATCGTTTTAGGACCCAAAATTCAGGTTTTGCGGTTCCACCTCTGTTGAGTCCACCAGAGGAAAACGGTGGGTCCACCAGCTCGACTCCACCTCTACAATCCGGAAGCTCGTCGAGCAGCGATCCGGAAGCTCATCGAGACGGTAATTTTAGCTCTTTCCTGATGAGACCTATTTCATGTCGCCATTTTTAGTTAATCTTTTTGGATTCGTTTGATTTTCCCTTTTGTGGATTCTCGATTTTTCCCACTGTATAATCAGCCTCCATTGTTTTTGTTTTTTGTTTTTTTGAAGTGTTTCGCCATGAAAGGATGAGGTTCGAAAGTTGATTCGAGAAAGGTCGACAACAGGTCAGTGATGTCTTCGTCGAGCCTCTTTTGGTGTAATCCTGTTGTTCATCTATCTTTTTTCTATTTTACCTGGGATGAATTGAAAATTAGTGGAGGCAATGTTGTTAGAATAAGAGAGCAAAATGTTAGTCCTTGGCTCAAACAGAGGAACCTCATGTCCTGCTCCTCTTACTGTCGCCAATGTTAGTCCTTCATGTATCTCAGTTCTTCCTCCAACCTATAGTATATATTATGGTTATATTGAGCTACCACTTATTATATATGTATATGTGTGTGTGTGTATGCGCTGGTTTGTGTAAATATCTTTACCTGGTATTTGGTGTTCTATTTCTTTCCATTATTCTTGATTTGGTATTTGGTGTTTGAGATTAGTCTTCTGCCCTTCTGTTTGACATGTTCATTGCTGAAAAACAAGTCATAAGCTCTGCAATGATAAATAGAATCAAATTTGAAACTCTTCTGCAATAGGAGTGAAGTAGTGTCTGGAACATATCAAAACGAAAATATGATTTGTGATTATTTTAATGTGATTTTGTTAATTCATGATGATTCTTGGACTTGTCTTGGTTTTTGATTAATTTGATAATGATATTCTAATGCTACAATCATTTGTTTATCTCAAGTATCTTTGGTCATTTGTTTATCTCAAGTAGAGTTCAGTGTATCTTTTGAGATCTAAATCATGTATGAGGGCAAGCCAGAACCACCGATAGTAATGATATTAATTATCCATGTTGAGGTTATCACATCTAATAAGATTCAATACAGTTGAAAAAACATGTACGTATAGCAATTCATGAAACAATGATGACTGCATGGACATATTATAGGTAGGTATAGTTCATTTGATCAGATTAATTTCTGCATCCAAGAAAGCAACCGTTCAAACTAGAAAATGTAAGTAAGGCAACTCAGGCCATTTATTGATCATTAAGGATCCACATACTATACATTGTTTTCATTTTTGTGTTATTAACTATAAATGTGTGGGAGGGTCCATCATTCGTGTTGACATATATATACCATCATAGTCAACTCCATTTGATTAGAAGTTAAATATATCCTCACATTGCTAGCTAGCTTGAGATAATGATTTAAGTACACCCCACTCGTTGGCAGGAAAGCACTAGAATCACTTAATCCTGCTCTCATTCTCCTATCTAACAGCTTGTGTTCTCTTATTTGTTTGTGTGTGTGTGTTTTCTATTCTATTTGAAGTACCAATAAAATCATCCCACTCTTTGGTAGTCGCTATTTCTTTTGTAATGTCTACATGTCTTATGTTTAATTCTAAATTATCGAATCTTTATTTTTTAGTAGAATATTGTAGCACAAATTAAATATGTAGAATTATGTTGCTAAAATATGACTGTGGCATGAATTGGGTGTATAGATTCTTGGAATTTTTCATCTTCATTTCTTCCTCTACTATTTTTCCCCTTTTCCTTATGTAATGTCTTCAATTTGATCCGAAGAAAATTAATTAGACTTTCACAAAATTTATAATATTTTTTTATTATTATTTTGTTCTTCACTTCCTTTCATTATTAGTAGCAATGAAAGTAGTTCATTAGTAAAAAAAAAAATTATTAGAACCATGTTTTAATTAGGAAGGAAGAAAAAGAGATTAGTCATATGAATATATAAACTGACATCCTTGTCATTGACAATATAAATGATCCGAATTTTAAACAGTTTTCACTACCGAAGAGTTTGGAAAGTCTAATTTGTGTGGAAGATGACTTGCCACAACATCGAACCAAATATGTTCCGTATAAGAATGTCTTTAATTATATATGATTTTTCAGCTTTGTATGTGTTCTTTGTTTCCATAATAAGGTATTTAATTGAAAAAAAATATACGTAATATAACTTTTAACAAAACTTTGATATGCCTTTTGCGGAAAGATGGTGTGATTATAGATATAATTCATAATAAAATTGAGTAGATTTTCACATGATTTGTCTCTCTACTACAATTCGTTTCATATATATAATTGTCTATGGAAAAAAACCCCGGACAATTCAATGCAGTCAATGGCCCTACATCCGACCCGGATTGTATGGTATCCCCTTATCGGCAATCCACGAATCCCCAACCATAAACTCCCCTGGGGCAAACGCGGCTGCCCCTTGGACAGACACGGCTTTAATCCCTGGCCACTTGACCCTTCTGCTGAGGTCAGCCCCTGGGCCCTTATTATTCACCTCCGCATACCAACACGTGCCCAGATTCGCCGTGGAGCCCTCCCACGTGGCCCACCCGTCAGGGTTTATCACTCCATCGATCTCACTATCCATCACGATTGTCCTTGAGAAGTCCTTCCACGGCCTGCCCAAATACGCCTTGTACGACTTGTCGTTCACTGGGTAGTCAGGCCCTGGAAGGATTCGACAGTTCTGGAGCACAGTGGCCGAAGTCTGGTTCACAAGAGTCCTCCCCTGAGCCGTCACCATGCACATCTTCTGAGTCTCTAGAGGCTTCCGGATGACAAGGTTGCAGTTCTGGAAGACGGCACGCGCGTTGCCGAAGATGAAGTCGATTGTGCCGCTGATGGTGCAGTCGCGGTAGAACTGTCGGTGGTTGTGCGCGTACAGTGTGTCCTGGAACCCGTCCAGGTGGCAGTTGTGGAAGAGCGACATGTCAGCGGATACGCGCACCGCAACTGCCTGCATCATCTTGGGACCTGCGCGGTTCTCGAACCCCATGTCCCTCGCTATGAAACCGTCCCCCTCAATCGCTGTACGAAATGCACTTAATTTATAAATCATAAAATAAATTTGGATAAACAAATATTAATTACTTACCGACGGTTGTTGTCCAGAATGTTTCGTATCCCCCTACGAAGCTCTTGTCCCCGACAATCCTTGTCTTGGTGGGGCCGTCCCCGAGAAACATTACGGACCACGTTGTCCTGTTCACAGTAACGTATTCTTCGTACACACCTTCTTTGATGTAAATCACAAAAGTCTTGTTACTGTTCTGCGGGGCTTCTAGAAGGGCTTCGTTAACCGTTTTGTATTTACCCGATCCATCTTTCGCTACCACCACGTTCGGGCGGATGCTCTTGGCCCCGGCGGCCTCCAAAAGCCTACGACGACCTCCATTAGTTTTGCCTCTGTAATCATATCCATAGTCGTAATCTTTCAGCCTCAGCCCGTATTTAGGAGAATCTCTTGCTCCAAACAGCCTGCGACCTCCATTAGTTTTGCCTCTGTAATCGTACCCATAGTCATAATCTTTTAGCCCTTTTGTAGAATCTCTTGCCCCAAACAGCCTGCGACCTCCATTAGTTTTGCCTCTGTAATCATATCCATAGTCGTAATCTTTGAGCCCGGCTTTTGAAGAATCTCTTTCTCCCAAGTGCCTGTGTTTTCCTTTCTTATGTTTGCCTGCGTAATCATAATAATAGTAATCCCCGTCGTTTTCAGGCTGATTGACTCCCAAAAGCCTACGACCACCAGCTGGCGCTAGGAACTCTGTTAGCTCATTTGCTATTGCGAGCCCGTTTATCGTGAGCTCGCGCGATATTTTCAGAAGCTTCTCCATGTTCTTGCTTGCTTCGCCGTTTATGCCCTCGAAACAATCCATGCACGTGTCTTGGTACGTGAGGGCGCCCGTGAGCCAGGTTTTGATATCGTCGATCAATAGGCGAAAATCGTCGGTCGTGTCGAACAGGGCTCCGAATCGATTGACGGTCTGTTGGAGATCGTAAATGGAGTCGTCCAGAAGCTTACTGCACGTCTTGTAGGCGCCAGCTGTGCGTGGGTCCTTGGCAGCCTCTTGAAGAGGGGTCGTTTGGCTGATCACGCGTTTGAGTTCTTGAATGGCTGTTTGGAAGCCTGCCTCGATGAGGGCTTTTGGGTCGGAGGCATTTGAGGCCTTGGTGAGGGTCGAGACGCATGTTTGCTGGTAGTGTGTGGTTTGGCAGAGGTCTTGAATGGCTGCCTTTTGGGATTGGTTGATGTTTTCGTGAACGTTTTGTTCGTTTTCGTGTTTGTCCCGAATGAGGAAGATGGCGGCAGTGGCGGCTGCCGCCACCACCAGGATGGCACAAAGGCCGATTACAGCGACTTTTTTGAAGGCCATTTTGTTGATGGGGAGGGAGAATTTATATGGAAGGATTGAAGGATTTTTTGTTTTCCTTCAATCCAAGAATCCTTGGACCCTGGTTAAGGGTTGGTGTTTTTTGATATTAAATGCAGAGGAAGAAATAAATTGAAAGAAGGAATTAAGTTTGTTCCTCGAGGATCCTTGGACCCTGATTGGGTGTGTTGATAAATTGTTAGGAAAAAAATGGGTTTTATACAACTAGTGGTTGAGGGAGATGAGTTTTTTTAGAACGCGAAAATTTTATGGTTAACAAGTGAGGACAATCGGAAAAAAATAAAAAATAAAAAATAAATTTGAAGCTGCGAATGTATCCTTAATACATGGGGGGTGTCAGGTGATTAAAGTTAGAGCGTGGGGATTGATTGTCCCTAATTATCTCCTTTTGTGTTTCTTATCATCCATTCCAATATTTATGAAACAACTGTTTAGGCATGTGTGGTAGGTACATAATTTTAATTTTACAAATTTTTACACCGAAGCTATGATAAGAATTATGTCAAAGTTAGATAAAATTCCAATTTTCAGAAAAAAAACAAATCCTATTTGCTAGTACTTTGTTGGTTCAAAATCGATGTGTTAGCTCTTGTTTTATTCCTGTCTTCATGGGTTACAATAACCCTTTCTCAGTTCAAGATTTGAGTTCATATTTGTTGTTAATTCGAGTTTGAATTAAGTGTCTTTTTATTTTTCTTTTATTTTTCATTTTTATTTCCTTATTTTTTTATTTATTTTTTATTTTTTTCATCTGAGGGTCTGAACCCACTTTCTTCCTCGAGCACAGCGGACGGCCTCTTCATTGGCAATACATATATCCACATGTCGTGGATCAACCTCACACAGAGATGCACGTCCGGCACTAAGCAGGAAACGTCATCCAGAATCACAGGTATTGCAGTCAACGTCATCTGGAATTGTCGGTACTACACTGGCAACATCATATGGACTCCTAAATGGGATACTGACAAGTGTTCTGCTAGTATTGGCTGGCAGCAACGAGTGAGAGAGAAAAGAGAACTGCGATCCACGTTCATATCAATAGTGTTGGAAAAATCTGCTGGCGATCAAGGCTTCTCTGGAGAATGGTGAGTATTGTGTTTTTGAACCCTCCTACAAAGTATTAAAAAATATAACAAGCATCTAAAACAATCTGAAAAAATGTGGAAGGGGATACATAAAATATCAACACCTCTTCAAAGTATAAAATATCTACAACGCAATGAATATGTTACCTAAAACCATTTATGTTGTAGTGTCTCCTGAAAAATATTAAAATATCAACAATATTGTAACAAGGACTTGTGTGGATAAATCTAGAAAGTCGTACATAATATTAGTAAGTGTTATAGCATTTTAACAAGAGGAAGATTACATGTGATAGATCTAGGTAGTTCATTAGTGAAAAATTGAGTGATTAATAAATAAAATGTTGAAGTGATTGATAAATAAAATGTTGAAAAAGTAGGTGACTGATAAATAAAATGGAGTAAATTCATTAATCTAATAAAGTAATTAGGATAGTGTTCGATTTATCCACATCGATGAATCTCGCGGAGCACCTCATCCACTAAAAATTTTGAACATTGAGTTCTTAAAACCTTCTGCGAAAGGTGTTTATCATAGTTTAAAATGGCGACGCCTCGAGGCGCGGCGACCGAGGCAAGGGCCACTTCGCCTCGCCACTGCCTGAGGCGACCTTGTTCGCGAGGCGTTCGCTTCAGGTCGTCTCAGCTCGCCTTTTCGCGTGGCGAGAGGCACCTGTGAGGCGCGCCTCGGCGCCTTTAAGAGGAATTAAAGGGGCAGTCCGTTAAAAAAAAAAAAAGAAAAGCGACACTTGTTGGAAAGAAATAAAATTAAACCAAATCGAAAGCAAAAAAACTTCAGTGAAAAATCTCTAAATGGCTTCTCCCCAAACTAGGGTTTCTACGAAATAACTCCTTAGGCTTCTCGGATGTGAAAATTGCAGAAACCCATGGCCGACCCATCCCATTTCCGGCCTCCTCTGAACTCCGGCCATCATCTCGCACCGCCAAGACGGTCGGTGATGCATGCCTTTTCCTTTCTTTTCCTTCTCCCTTTCTCTTTTTCCCGTTCCCGTTTCTGCCGTCTCTTTTTCTTCTTTCTTCATTTTTTACTTTATTTATGTTTACTAGTATGGTCAATAGTCAAAGGTGAAAGGGTGCAGCATCTTTTCTTTCATTTACTTTCATTTTACACTTTCTATTTACCTTCTTTAACCTATTTCTATTTCATGTTCACTTCAGTGTAAATTCAATATTTTTGCTTTGTAATGTTACTAGTGTTCACATTTAAGTTTTAGATGCTTTTAGTAATTACAACTAAATTTAATCTATATTATGTGTTTATGATATTTAAGGTTATTTTTGGTAGAAAATAATGTATGATATTACTATATATATATATATATATATATAGGGTCGTACTCTGGTGAGAATGGTGCTCAGTGAAAAAAATAAGAATAAATCTTAGCCACATAATTTGATCATCCAACGGATAAAAAAAACCAAAATCTTAAACACAATAAGGATAATGTAGTCATTTAATCAACCACCCAAAACAGTGGGACCCTCCACAGTAAACCAAACACATCAAACCACCAGGCAGTGTAACGTCATTCTCCATCTGTCACACTCACACACTCCCTCTCTCTCTCACACACACACACAAATTGGGATTCACGAAAAAGAAAAAAATCTGAGATTCACGCCGAGTCGCCGACCGCTCCACTCCCTCCGCCGGCCACCCACCGGCGTTACTTCCGCCGCCGCACACTCCCAACACAACGCCTCGTCACATCGATTTCGTCGTTCATATGATTCATGAGGGCGGAGACCCCGGCTTTCCCGGCGCAAGCGGTTGTACCTGGCAGCCGGTGCCTCACCGGCGAACACACACCCGCACAGTCCGATTCACATACTCCCTCCCGCACAGTCCGATTCACATACTCCCTCCGCCGCTACTTTTTTCTAAAAAACCTCTGTCGGGATGACCTCCAGCCAGAGCGGTTCACCGCAGCCGCACCTCAGCCGCATCCGAGCATCTCGCCACCGGCAATCATCACAAAAATCTAGTAGTCGCCACGTACACACGGCAGCGAGGGAGTGGTGAGGCAGATGGCTCGGTCGCACCATGGACTTGATGGAGGCTTAGATTTGTAAATTAGATATAACTCAAGAGCTTGATTGCAATTTTAGATATTTTATATATATTTCAATTTGGTCCATGGCCAAATCTGTAATTTACGAAAAATATATAAAAAATATTAATTTATATATATTTGTTATATACTTATATTATGTATGTTAAAACAAAAATAATATAAAAGGATTAAATAAAAAATATTATAATAAATATAATTTGTTAGACAAATAATAAATTGATTTTATTATTTAAATTATACATTATAACATATGTACATAATTTTTTTATATTTTCAATAAAAAATTAAATAATGTAAATAAAAATAATAAAATACTGAAGATATTTTTATAAAAAATAGTTGCACGAATGCACATTAGTGTTAGATAGATTGCACATCTATCATTATATAAAAAGAATAACCTTTTTACAAATTTAGAAACTTTTTCCCGCCAAAATCATTAAATATATCCTAATATAGTAATTGTTGGACAAATCTAAATAGGCAAAAAATCGGCTCATTTTTTTTAGTTTATCAAAATCGTTGTTTGACAATAAATATTTGTTTTTCTTTTTCCTATTTTTAGTATAAATCTACACGCTTATCTCTTCTGTTACAAAATCTCATTGCATATGTCTCCCGTGTTTAAAAAATTTCATCCCTTATCTATACAGATTTAAAAAATATAAAATAAAATAGAAACCAATTCATAATTACTACTAGAAATCCATTATCTTTAAAAAGAAAAAATAAAATAAAATAGAAACCAATTCATAATTACTACTGAAAATCCATTATCTACTTTAAGAAGCTAATTTTTATCGGTCTAATTACTAATATTCTTACAAATATTATAAGTTAACCATACAAAAAAGTATAATAATAATTTTGAAATGGTGTGTAATCAAATTTTTTTATATTATCTTATACAAAATAATTTTACATTGTTTGACCCCGAATCTTTAATTTATAATTATCAAGTATTGTTTATCTTCCTCTTTAATTTATAATTATTTTTTTCGCTTCCTCTTTTTAAATAGGATCAATAGTAGTTTCCACTTCGGTCATTGGGTGACTCAAACTCGAAGTCTATTTATATTTGTTAATTTAATATTATTTCCGTGCATCGCACGGGGTATACACTAGTTTGTGACTAACACATTGCACAAAGTTTTGATTCGTACTTTATATTTTGGTTCAATGTTTTTTTTTTGTTTATACTTTTAAAATTTTGGTTATCTCGATTCAATGTCAGCTTTATTATTCTAAATAACCGAATGATCGGACAGTATAAAAACGTGTTATTTTTTTTATATAAATAAGTATATTTTTTAGGTCTTTACAACGAAAAAAAGAATATTAATATTAAATATAATTTTCATAACATAAATTATGAATTAATTAGATTATTTAGGCTAATTCAATTGACCAATCAAATAAACCGATTATTTTAACTTTTAGCTTAGTTTGAAGAAAATCATTAATAATAATGCAGCTCGAGTGCACATTAGTGTTAGATGGGCCGCACATTAGTGAATGTCAAATTGCACTTTATCGACAAAAAATTGATCGAACTAAATTTGTTGAAAATACATGCGTTGTGAGTGGGTCAAATATGATAGTTTGGTTACATTTCAATTTAGTACAGGGTGAAATATATAATTTATAAAAATAAATAAAAAAAATATTATTTTCATATTTGTTTTTTATACAAATATATACTATGCGTTAACCAAAAATGATATAAGATATTAAATAAAATATAAAAATACTAAATATATTTTTACATTATAAATAGTAAATTATTTCGGGTCAATTTTAGTGTAGATTTACACATAAAAAACCCAGATTGCAAAATTCACAATAGTATAAATCAAGATGCACATTAATGATACCAGACTGCACAATAATGTTCGAAAGAATGCACATTAGTTCGTTCGAGAATGCACATTACCTTAACAGCATGAATTTTTGCAAATAATAAAATTTTGATTATTTCGGTAGAAATTCGACTTTATTTACATACACAAAAAAATAAATAAAATAACCGGATGAGCTGCATAAAAGATATTATTTTTATATTTTATCTATATATATTATGTATTTTAAATAAATAACAATATAAAATATTAAATAAGTAATTATACATACTAAATGAAAAAATAAATAATGATATAAAGTATTATTATTTATAAAATATTAAATATTTATTTTTTTTAGGTTATTTCAATTAACAAATCAAACAAAACAATTTTGTTTAATTTGCATAATTGTGCTACAAAGTTAAAAATTTGCAAAATGTATTTAATGTCACCGTGATACAAATTGCACAATCGTGTTAGACTAAGTGCACATTAGTGGTTGCCCGAATGAACAATAGCGTATTATAAAAGAAAAATTAATTATATCGATTCGCCAATTAATTGTATGATTTCATAAAGTAAGAGGTGATTTTTTATGTGCATATTAACACATAGTATTCTGCATTATATATACCATTAATAATAATATGCATTTATTAAACTATTACTAAATTACAAAAGTACCACATACTAATGTGTAAATATTCTAAATGTTTTAAATTGCACCAAGAGCCTTATGAAATGTCTAATTCTCACAAATAAGCCCTAATCAAACAAAATCAGAAAAAAAAAAAATAAAGAAATTAAGCACTCTGTGACTTCAAATATCACATTCAACCGCCGCCGGAGATTCGGCCTCCCGCCTCCCATCGTCAACGACCACACAACCGGAGGAAGCAGCTCCCGAGAAAAGGCCGGCGTGATCCCTGCCGGAGGCCAGGTACGAGCACTGGCATCGTAATCGACGGCGAGCTCGTCCACTGGCGGAGGCCCGATGGCAGCAGGTGGCGGATCTCTGGTCATGATGCTCAACGGCGACGGATATGGCTATGACATTGACAGGGACGTTGATCTATCTCGCCGGCGGCTAAGAGAGTGTAGACGGTGGAGCTATGGTGGGAGGTCTAGCAGGCGGCGGGAGACGGGGACGGCGGCGGGGAGGTGGAGACGGCGGCGAGATGACGGGACTGGTGGTTGGAGAGGGCGGGGTTGGGGTGGTGCAGTTGTGTGTAATTGTGTGTATGCGTGCTGTGTGTGTAAAAATAAGTGAGGTGTGTGTTTTTGTGTGAGAGAGATAGAGAAGGGGAAGAGTTGGGTAGGGAAGGTGACGGGTTGGGTGTGGCACCCATGTTTGGGTGTGGCACCCATGTTTGGGTGTGAGAATGTAATGACAAATCTACCCTTAATTACTGGTCAAATATGTACATTTGACCACAGTGTGTATGTTATATTACTATATTGCCATTAATGATTGACCAAGTTTTGACTTGATCATTACCATTGATGTGTTGGATCCAATGATCCAAATTTATTCTTATTTCTTTCACTATCTACTATTCTCATTGGATCCTAATTCTATATATATATATATATATATATATATATAATATATTTAAACTTTGATGGGTTGTGTTGCCGAGACCTCGCCATGGCGATTCGCCTCGCCTCGTGGCGAGGCAATGGGCCAATCGCCTCGCCTCGCTTTGCCTCGCCATTCGCCATTTAAAACTCTGGTGTTTATGCACGAGTTACTGTGACCTATATGTGTCAGGCTCATCCACTAAAAATTTTGAACATTGAGTTCTTAAAACCTTCTGCAAAATGTTTATACTCGAGCTACTGTGACCTATGTGTCAGGAAAGTGACTTATCTCTCCCAATAGAGCGTGTGTTATGGACTAGAGTTTGGCTTGAAAGGTGGAAGAGTTATTCTTTTATATTGTCTACCTTGAAGTTTTCTATCTTTTCCTTCTTTTCTTTAGTTATAAGAGCATGATTGGATATAAATCCAATCCAAAAAGTGTTTCTTTTCATTTATGTTCAGTTAGTTGTAAGTGTTTGTTTGAAGTGTTTTCCATCTTTTTCTTTTCTTTTTTATTAGTTATAAATGTTTCTTTTAATTTATGTTCTGTTATAAGTGTTAGTTGAAGGGCATCGTTATATTTGTGTTTGGTGTAATATGTGAAACGGTGTCGTTTAGGTGTTGGGTGTAATATGTGAAACGGTGTCGTTAGGGTCGTTGAGCATGAGCTTAAGTGTATATAAACTCGTTCGTTTAATCTGTATGGTGTGATTTTGAGTTTAATAAAAAAAAATATGTGAAAATACGCCAATTTTTGCCCTCCAAATTGCTTGATCTTCACATGGTATCAGGAGAAGGTGAATGGAATTTTTGAATCGCACTTGATTTGAGCTCCAAATTGCTTGATCTTCACATGGTATCAAGAGCAGGTGAACCTGGAATTTTTTTAATCGCCTAAGAATATCGTTAGCTCACTGTCACAAAATATGCGTTTAAACTCTAGTTAAATATAATTAAATGATACGTTTGTGCGACAAGTTTTGTTAAAAATGGTAGAAAAAGAACCTTGCAATGGAATCTAATTCTTGGGGTAACAAAAAGATACCTTCATGCTAGTGGCCCGGATAAAGCAGAAGCCGCCCATCTTATCCGGCCCAAAACAGAGAACCTTGAAGTGAAAAAAAATAATTAAGTTAGGTAGTTATATCTTTAAAAGCCCGAAGAATATGTGAATAGTTCATTGGATACTTTATAAAATAATCATTTTCCATTCCTTAAACAGAAATAATTTTTCAAGGAATCATATCCACGGGTAATATTATATACATTATATACAGTTCTTTCACCATTTGAAGCATGGCCATATCCGACTCGAAATTCTGGGAATAATTGGAATTCAAGAGGGCAAATTTTACATATGCCTTAATTTTAGTTTTCATAAAGAAAAAAAATAAATAAAATTTGATTGTCCCAATTTCTATCTTTCTGTAAAAGAGAAAATAAATAAATAAATAAATAAATGAAAAACTAAAGTGAAATGTGCACCAGTCGGAGAAAAAATTAACTATGAAATTATTCTCCCTTCATTTTTGCTGCATAATTTCTGCACCTAAGATTTTTGACAAAATGTATCTAATCCTTGTTGAATTGATTTCTTTCCTAGACAGTTTACCGACAATTTCATATTACTTCAGACAGTATGAAAAAGAATAGATTCTTATCAGGTCAGTCATCTAAAATCTTTCTGAGTTAGACTCAATTCATAAAACCACATGGCATGTCTATACTATAAGAGCATGCGTTGTATTTTGCACAAAAATCAAGTTCAAAGTACAGCCATCTTTTTCATCTCTTTTATTGGATTCGTACAATTTCATTATCTTATCACATGCTTGACCAATTGTTCGATACGAATGGAAAGAAATAGAGTTTACTTGGGATTAATTATTTTTGTTACGTTTCATTGTTAGAAAATGTTAGTCCTTAGCTTGTTATTTTGTTATTGAAATGTTGTTATTCTCTTCATAAAGCCAAAACGTATCTTCCTCGATAAAGTATTGGCATATACATATACGTTCATACCAATGTACATATTCGATTATCACAAATGCTGCTGTTAGACTGTCTAATCATTAGACAACCATATTTTCTCACAAAACTTACATACTTATATTATGGAATATCATAGTTTTGTTAACATTGTATTTCAAAATTTGACATTGAAGCTACACATCTATTGTTGAAAGAGTATGAATGTCTAACCATTAGACAATCTAACTAAATAACTACTAGTCAACTATAAATTACGTGCTCCTATCATACTTAACTAGTGCGTGGCCCGTGCGATGCACAGGAAAATAATATTACGATTGTATTATAAATTAAATATATGAATAACATTAATCATGACTTATCCATTGTTTTTAAATTAAACCGGTTGGATACAGTCTGATCGGATGCACCGAGAACCGGTTTATAACCAGTCTAGTTCGCTCGAATAAAATATTTGCTCTCGAATCTGTCAATACCAGTCGGTTGGACGGGTAGGATCGATACGATTTTCTAAATAAATTTTGTTATATTTAAAATTATTTTAAATAAGATTAAATATTTAAATAAAATAGAGATTTATAAATTATTTATCAATTAGTTTAAACATTTGAATTTATAAATTGTTTAGATATCTAAGTAACATATTTTATTTAAATTTGTTACAAAAAGTGCTATATATATATATCTATTAAAATGTTTAGAAATTAAAATCTGAACAAACCACAAATGATTTAATAAAATAGCTTGATCGTTTCGATGATGGTCCAGTTCTAAAAACCTTATATTTACTGTACATTAATAAATATTATAATAGAATATTATTTAATTCAAATAAATATTAATAAAATGATATATAAGTATTCATAAATCATTAAACATGTTGTCATAAAAGTATTGTTAATATGATTATTTGAAGTTTGGACTACATCACATTCACGTAATAAAATATTTTTAATATAAAATTTATATGTAGGTTCAATAATCGATTTGGTGTGGTCGAATTGATACATAACTTAGTCACCTGAGATCAACCATGTTGTGTCAAATTTTTTGACTATCTTAAATATCACCTAAAAGTAATTCAATCAACCTGGGCAGTACCCTAATTCAATCACCCGATTGATCTGAAGAAATTTTTTTATTTTCTTTAAATATATTTAACTTTGTGAAATAAAAATATTTTATGATTCATATAATAAATGTCTACACCAAATGATATTATATTAAGATTATAAATTGTATATCTAAAGATGAATTAATTATTTTTACTTTATGCATATTAATAAAAAATAAACATAGTAACTTTCAAAAAATTAAGATTAATTGATTGATTATGCAATTTAAGAATATTTTTAGCGTTCAATATATTTTTTTAAAGGCACAAATATAAAGACCGAGATTCTAAAAGTTTTGTTATATTTTGAATTGAGATTTTATAAATATAGAGACCGAGATTTTAATGTTGTTCCTTATTTCTACGAAAAAAATAAAAATAAAAACATACACAATTAATAATTCTTAACCGGATTTTTTAAATAATAAAATGAACTAAAACTCGGAATTTAAGGTAGAATTTAATGTTGTATGATTTTTAAAGAAAAAAAATAATAAAAATAATAAACCTTACTATTTATATTTTTTTGCTACTATTTTTGGTAAATGGTAATTCTTATTATATATATATAGATTTTATCATTAGTATTGTTTATATTTTTCAATTTCGGAATGACTATCACTATATCAGCCTCAGATTTCCACTATTTTGCTGCTTTTTGAAAAGCATAAGTTCTTCCAAATGATCCCAAAAGAAAACGTGCACCAATAACAATCCCAAAAGAATTGCCACTTGTCGTAAAGCAATTGGTGCCACATGGACACATTCTAAATTTTTTCCCCATAACATGAAAACAGGGCTTTCTATATAAAGGGGTGTTTACTCTATAGACTCAACCAAGAAAAAAATAAACTGCACTATTTCTATCATCTATATACTCATAAT